ACAGGTTGATCGCAAAATTGCTTATCTGTTTTTTACACGTATAGGAGAGAGTAGTACAAGAAATCAGCACCATCTCCCGTATATTGTCACACACATGCGTGGTTGCACACACATGTTATTTTTGCAATCGTAAAACAAGAGCCTGCCCTCATGACCTCATAAGGTCCAATCTGCTGGTCTCCGTTTGTGGTCCTGAAATCTCCGGGAATGGGAAAGGGCTGACGTGGCTACTCTACCTGTGGCTCATCTGGTGGCAATGAGCTGCTGAAAGTGCCCAAAGTCAGATGGGCGTCAAGGCGACAACTTGATGCAACTTGTTGTACAAAGGAAAAGACGCATCTTCAGAGCCAAACTTTCTTCGCAGAGCAATGTGTTCTAATTCTAGATGACTGAGGTTCTGAGGATTTCTGGTTCATAGGCGCGTTCCTATATTTCCTCACAAATCCAGTAGTTTGTTACAGAACATGACATTGAGCTTAGGGTGTTCAACCCAACCACACCACAATCAAAATCTTGGACTGACATATGAAACCTGTGAAGGAAAGGATCGTCAGTTTTAGAAAGCTCATTACTTTTGGCAACAGAAGGGCACACACAGCGTAACTTAACTAGACAGATGGGTTATGCAGAGCATTTATGGAGCTTGCACAAAGAGACACTCAGTACCAGGGATGTCAGCACGTTTTTGGGTCTGAATCCCAAGCCCCAAGCCCGAGTCCCTATTAGAAACAAGCCCTTTCCCCCCAGAATCCCCAGAGGATTCCAAGTTGCAAGTTGAGTCAGAGTCATTGAAGAAACCTCAGTTGAGTCACTGGTGTGACTTCAGTCGGACTTGACAGCGTTCCCACAACTTGAGTCCCCATCCTGGCTCAGCACCTTCTTGCACAGGCAGAAGCCCTGTTATTGTGAATGGGTGCGCATCACTATTGTCGTTTGCTGAGGTTGGGTGGAGATTCAGAACAGCTATTATTGGCAGAACTGTCAATGACTGTCATTGACTGTCAATGGAGCATATTATTATGATCCATTGACAGTCAACAGGTTACTGCCAGTGTATTCAGCAGATGCACTGCCCTCCCAAATGGATGTGTAGACAGACTGTTCCTCCTACTGCTATGAAGAGGAATGGTTAATCTATTCCACTCCAGAATTTACAGTGTGTGCAGCTTCATGCAAGGAGGGGTGATCCCCAAGGCATGCTGCTGAATCCCCCCTTCCCCTATGTTAGGCAGCCACCTAAATGGTCAGCCATGTAAACCAGGCATGGCTGCCACGTGATTCACTGTCTTACCCTTGACTACAAACGTATAAGGTGAGTGAGCATGACTAGTGATAACTGGGATGCAGGATAGTGGTTTGTCTTCTTTCACATCACAATGAAGATAAACCTACATGTCAGGGTCATACACTGTGTTGTCAATCCATTTCCATTGTCCACCGGAGCCTTTCTTGGTTAGACCAATGAAGAAGTAGTTGACACCTTCTGTTCTCTCCTTTAGGAACATCTGAATAGAATCAAAGTGCAGGAGGAATAATTATTTCATGCCAGATGGGTTACTATTATCCTTGCTCTTTTTTCTTTTTCTTTCTATCATTGTACTATATGTTATTAACATGCTACCAGTGCTGGTGGATTTTGGAAAGTAGGGGAATAGACTTGGTTCACACACATGACCAAAATATTCTTTTGATTCCCTCTTTTCAATGTTACACCATGAAAAATACTTACCAAATACAAAAGGACTAAACAAAATGCTCTCATTATCCAATTTTCCCAAAAGTAATTAGTCACAAGTAATAACAGTACTCCTGTCTTGGCAGTAGGTGTTAAGAGAACTCCAGAAAGCAAAACTGAAGCATTTTATTGCGGAATGCAACATGGAAATCATTACACTTCAGCCAATTTTATGGCCTTCAAGGTTAAACTCACACCAAACCTTCCCTTATTCTCTACCTCAGTGCCATGTGAAAAGTCTTGGTAAAAATCCATGCACACACATGATAAACATATGGAGCTCAATGATGTGCACTAAGGAGATAGTTCATAACTTAGATGGATTTAAAACAATTAGAAGCCAAGAAGAGATGCTTAGACACAAGGTTTTGGGGTACAAATGAACAGGATAAAGAGAAGAGAGTCAGCTCTTTGATGTCAATCTGGATCAGACCCCCATGATTGATTGGTTTTTGAAAAACCTTATTTCCACAATTGACTAAATACTCCCTTTTCAAAAACAACGTAGCTTCTCACCAATTCTTCTCTGTTGTTGACGACTGCAAGAGAAGAGTTTAATGAGGCACAACTGTGCTGGCTCTCATCCCATGTTTTCTCTACCTCAGAAAAAGAGTAGCAGTTGCCCTCATACAGTTCCCATCCGAGACGGCAGGCTGTGGGGCAACAGAAGAAACAAGAGGCGGCCATATTTAGCGTACATAAAGAAACAGAACTTCCCATTCTCTTTGTGCTATTTTTGTTGCAGACTCACCGTTTTTGTGTCGGTAGACGACTGCGGGACCTTTCTGGAAGATCTGTGAAACTGAAGAAAAACCTGCGTTAATAGAGTCGAATAAATGTTTGAAACAGCGAGTGAGCACCGTGTGTATTTATTACCTTGTTGTGACTATGATTAGAGATGGGATCTTTGTCTTCGTATCCCTGGGGAGACAAATATGAATATTGCAGACACAGGTGGCAGGGAGGTCCAATCCCTCCCCCCCCCCGAACCAGTTGCCCACTTAGGGGTCACCACACGGTGCACATGGTTATCAGCATCCCCATCACGCCAATCGCCAAAGCATCCCGGCTCGTGCTTCTCCGCCTCTCTGCGCTACTGACTACACAGCAGCTGAACGGGGAAACTTGTCATCATCCCCCCTCCTTGCCAGATTGGTCAGCAGTGCAGGGAGAGGGGAAGCGCCAGCTGGGCTACCTCCACAATTAGTGCATCAGGGATGCTGCTGGCCACACATGGTGCATTGTCACCCATAAGTGGATGGGCTAGTTCGGGGGGGGGGCTGGACTTCCCCTTCCACCTGTGTCTGTGATATTCATATTCCTATCCCCAGGGATACAAACATGAATAACCCATCTCTAATTATGATATCAATTTAAAACACATGTTTAGAGCAATATATTTCATACGTGTTATTTTCAAGGGATATATTTTATGCTGGTCATGGAACTCCCGTATGTTGCAGACAATGTTTTAGGTGAGAAAATGCAGAATTTGAGCAACACATTTAGGAAACTTGTGATATTCACAAAACCTCGTCTGAAGCCCACTGGCAGAAGCCTCTTCATGCTCCAAGTTTGCAATGGGGTTTACATGCATGTGCGTATAAGGAATCCCCTCCCTTTTACTCGTAGTGTAGGTGTAAAGGAGTTAGACTTCACTCCCTACACAGTCATGCGTAGTAAGTAGGACAGTAAAGGTTGCAGCAAAGGGTGTCACAAGGCACCGCGTGATTGTGCCATGGCTACAGCTGTCTGTCCGGTGGAAACCCTGAACACGTGGTTGCTGCTTGCACAATTGCCAGTTTTAAAGGAAGCAGGATGCCGCAGTCACCATGACCCCTGGCTTTATTTATTTATTTATTTATTTATTTATTTATTTATTTGTTTGTTTGTTTGTTTGTTTGTTTGTTTGTTTATTTATTTATTTATTTATTTGCCGGATATACGAGAAGCACTACTCTGGGCAGTTGACAAATTAAAGCATAAACCCCACATAAGTGTTTGTTGAGCAATTTGGGACGAAGAAAAGTAATTGGCATGGGTGTCTCTAACTACGCGGGTCCTTTATACCCTTCTCCCTTTGGCGAAGAGGCGCTACTTTCAAAGGGTAAACATAAGTGTAAACAAAGGAGGAAATCAGAGGTGCCAGCTCCTCTCCATTTGGACAATTGTGCCTTGAAAATAAACATAAATACTTTGCCCCCTGCCCCGAGGTGTTGAAGACCAAAGGCACCAGCACTTCTAGTGGGCATCTTCATTCCCCTGTTGTGACTGTACACGTCGTTTTGTCATATTTTTACAGGGTTTCAAAAACATATTTCACTAGAGACCACTTGAGACAATGATAACAATAACTGGGTGCTACCAAGTCAATTCTGACGTAGGGCAACCCTTTCCGGGGTTTTCTAGTTAGAGAGTATTTAGAAGTGGTTTCCCATTCCCTTATTCTGGGGTGGGGGGGGGACCCTGGACCAGTGCAGCTTGTCCAAGGCGACACAGGACGGCTCTACCTACAGGAGGAACAGTGGGGGAATTGAGCTCCCAACCAACCTCTGGCTCCACAGCCAAATACAACTCTCACTGAGCTACCCAGCCAGCAATCAGTTAAAACTTAACAGCAATGACAGGACATTGGGTTTCTAGGTACTGTATCTTGAGTTATCACCCCACCGGTGGCTTAACTATGCATCAATACACTAGCTTTGTCTGAAATGATCAAGAGCTGACCAGAACATTTTCTCATTTCAGATTTTAATCTCAGTCATTAAAATAAGCCATCAAAGGTGTTTAGACTTATTTGCTTGGTATTATCATTGGTCAGGGTACATGATTAGAAATCTTCTTTTATTTAGGCAAAAACTATTGAGAGCTGAAAGAACCTAAAAGTTCAGTCTCTCTCTCTCTCTCTCTCTCCAAGATTCAATACTTGTATGTTTTCCACAATGAGACAAATAGCAGCTGAACAGTGCATATTTGCAAGTGTGTATTTAATTGGGAAAAACTGTCTGTAGAAAGGACTACACAGCAGTCTGGACAGTATTCCATCCTAAACCTCCCTGGCCCATTATTAACCTACTATAAAACATCAGGGGGTTGTAAATTTGTCCGTATGTTCTGTGCTGTCAAATTGGAACTGACTTATAGTGACCCTAAAAGGGCATTCAAGGTAAGTACAGTGGTGCCCCACATGATGATGATAATCCGTTCCATAGAAATCGCTTTTTAGCGAAATCATCGTCATGTGAATTGCGATTCCGCATTGGAATGCATTGAAACCCGTTTAATGCGTTCCAATGGGGAAAACAGTCATCATCCAGCGAAGATCGCCCATAGGGAAGCCTGTAAATTTTGAAAAGATGTATGAACTACCAGGAGTCACATTCTGATTGGTGAGCAGTGCAATCCTATGTATGCTATTCTGGGTCAAACTACAGTAATTCAGACGCTGAGCTCATGTTTTAGAAGCTGATAGCATATTTATCCTCCAATGAGGGAAAATCTCAAACCTTCATGCCTGAGCAGTTAAACTTGCACCTTAAGCCCATATTCACCCCTTGATGACCAATCACAAAACAAATAAAGATCATTTACAAGTAACAGGAGAAAGGAAAACTTCTGGTATTGACAGATACACAACTTTTACCAGTTAGAGGAACTCTTCTTTGAAATGTGAGTTGAACATCTTGTCTAGTTGAACTGTAGGAACTATGATCCATATCATTCAGTCCATAGGAAATGTGTTCAGTATTTCACCCTAAACATCTTCAGAATGGCATCTAATTGAACCCAGGTTCCAGAAGGGAGTCAAATCAGATCCTTCACTAAAATACGAAGCTGTGGTTCTAATCTAGTACTGTTGGTTCCACAGAGAAAAGAACATCAGACCAAGATCATTGCTAATCTTGTCATGTGAGATCCTTTAATATGTAATGCACGTGGCTGAATATAGGATCTTCAGAGTATACTCTGTACCAGAGAATTGTGTTTTTCCTAAAAGTAAGTTCATTTTGACCAATGTTAACTAGGGCCATATAAACAACTCATTTATGAATGAGAATGGGTTGGATCTACAGTGGGGTCTTGACTTAAGAACGGCTCGAGTTAAGAACATTTTGACTTAAGAACCACTCTCATAGGAAAATATTGACTTGACTTACATACTTAGATTTGAGTTAAGAACTGAAAAAAAAAACACGTGGGAGGCAGGGAAAGTGCAAAATTTGAACTTTCAGTTAACTGTTGACCAGTGAAAAAGGTGCCTGTCTGCTTCCTCACTCCTCCCAGCGTTTAGAGAGTGGATTGGGAGACAGTCTTCAGACTGCCTGGTACTGGACTGCCTGGACTGTGTTTTCCCTGCCTTCCCTGAACCTTTCTTGACCCAAGAAAAAAAGAAACAAAATATCCCCCTCTAGGCGGAATAGGAGCTTCCCATTAGTTTCTATGGACGGAAAAGAGCAGATACGGATCAAATGGTTCTCAATGCATTCCTATGGGAAATGCAGATTTGACCTGAGAACTTTTTGACTTGAGAACCGCCTTCCAATACGGATTAAGTTCTCAAGTCAAGACCCCACTGTATATGTGAGAAGGAGAGAACATATGCATTAGATCCCTATATCTCACTTTGGAGTAATACTGTAGCTCGATTGCACACACGGTGATTTCAGTTTTCAAACATAATGTGTCTTCCAAATTGCAACCTATTATGGCTGTTTGGCCAAGATCATGTCCAGAGATTGGCCACTAATGTAGAACAATCAATTACAAAAAACAATTGATTAAGATGCACATTTTCTGACGGAAATATACAGTTTAACTGGTGTTTAAACGACAAAAACTTAACCTGGGGTTTTTACATCAGAATTTATCCAGCGATAAATTAATCAGATAGGGAAAATGTGTGTGTGTGTATCCCTGTTGTCAGGCAATAGGATCATCCATTAACTACATAATTAAAAACCCTGCTATTCCTCCCATTCAAAGTAGGGGCAAAGGGGGAGGAGTCAATTCATGGGCAAGATTTCTCCCCTTTGTAGACTAAAACTCTATCAAACAAAGCATGCCTGGGTGGGGATGATGACATCACTGCCAGGGAGAGATTAAAGAGACCCTGTTTCAGTCCTAGGGGGTCACCCATGTAGTATGCATCTCACCAACAATCATATTTACTGAGGAAGAGTTGGACAAACCCCAGGATTAAAACAGAGACTCCTTAATCAAGGGCAAGATGCTGCTGCTTCTGTCACCTCGGAGAAGGGGATCGGATTGCTGCTAATTAAAAAAGCTCCTGCCCTGATCCCAAGACTTGAGAGTACCTGTACTGAATTGTAAATATAATGTAAGGTAGATTTCAGCTGCAATTTAAACACCCTCTTTTCAATGTAAAGGTAATTACATTGTAAAGCTTTAGATTTTAAAGCTTACTAACAATTACCTTAATGTCTGACTGTTCTTCACTAACCTTCCAGTTGCTGATCTTGTTCGGCACAAATGGAACAGAAGGCCACACCGGCACAGTTGTGCAGGATCAACCGCTGCAGCCCTTGTGCTAATGGTGATCACTGCTGGAAAAACACAACTTTGGCTGTACTAGAAAAACACAAACTTTGGTTTGCCTAATCAGGTCAGATGCCTCTGTGTGTGAGCCCAGTTACAATCCATAACATGAGCAATTTGAAATAATCAGAACCTGGCCTTCATCTTCAATACCTGTCCAACTGAAAATCATGTTTTTGTTTTTAAAATCCTGAATTAAAAAATTGTAATGATTTTTTATTTTTTAAAAAAATCAACTGATGCTTTTGGAAACTGTACTGGACTTGGCCTGGTGGTTTCCAAGGAAAACATCTAGATGGAAAAAATGTAGAAAATGAATGATCTGAAATACAAAAGGCGAGGTTGTTCGCCAAAGACAGAGGATTGCACTGGGAAAAAAAAGAAATAAAATTCAGTGTGATACTCACAATAAAGAAGAAACAAGGAACTGCTGATTAGCTTAATAATCAAGATTGCTGCAATTTGACCCAGGAGGTTCCAGTTCATGTTAATCTTGCAGATCAGCTATAAACCTCTCCGTGTGAAATCTTCGGATAAGTCTTTGTGGCCGGTTGGATCTAAAATGTAAATAACAGCCAGCCCAAATTTATAGCACCCTCTTTCTATTAATAAACTTCCTCTAGTGAGGTACAGTAAACTCTTCAGTGCTGTGCAAACGATAATTATGGATTGTTATCTATCTTTAGATCTAACAACAATAAGAAGGTTCTGTTCAGAGATGAAAATACCAAAACCTGGCCTGCAACTTAGCAATATGTAGCAGTTAATGGAATAATTTGGTCGTGAGCTGCTTCCCACAAAAGTGAGTGAGCTGATTCTATCCATTCTTATTTTGAAGATGAAGCCTAAGTGAAGGTGCTAACTTTGATGTCAACAAGGCAGCACATCCACATTTGGTCAAACCCTAAACTTTCAAAGGAGCTGAGCCTATTTTGGAGATAGGGTCCTTCACCTTGTTCTTGTAACAAGATCCCATCTAACCCAGAGTGGGTGCACTGCACTACTGACATCAGAGCCACCACCTTCCATAGGTAAGGCCCACCCAGTCCTGTCAGGTTACAGCACATAGCTGCAGGTATGGATGTGTAAAATAGAGCCTCTGAAACAAGACAGATCTCTGCTTTCTTTTCTCCATTCATTGCAAAGCAAAGCAAAGCACCCTGAAGTACTCTCCCTCTCTAGTATATAAAGCAGAGAGGCAAATTCATTTAAAAAGGGGGGGGGAGGACCTCCAGAGTGGAATTCTTGGCCATCTTAATCTTCTAAATTAAGGAGCTACTGCTATTCCCAGCATAGAGAGGGCCATATTTAAACTGGTGGCCATTTTGTTTTAAAACAAACAAAACAGTAGAAGCTCCAAACAACAACAGGATTGAATACAAAATGATTCAGATTGAGCACAAAGTTTCTAAACAGCCCAAGCCTTTTGGCCTTGGGTGGATTAATCGGTCAGTTTTGAGTCTGTACTTGGATATTTCAAATGAATTCACAAAGATATTTCTAAATGGTTGTTGTGAGTTTTTTGGGCTCTTTGGCCGTGTTCTGAAGATTGTTCTTCCTAACGTTTCACCAGTCTCTGTGGCTGGCTTCTTCAGAGGACAGCATTTCTAAATGTTGGCAAGTTGTGTACTACATTTGCTTCTTACACTGAACCAAACCAGGCCAGGATAGGAAGCAGAGGATTCTAGAATCCCTTTATAGTCCAAACCTGTAACATTTCCAAGCTCTAGATTGAATCCATCCTTAACCTGATGTTGCTCAAAGATGTTGCTTTGAAATTCGTTGGATTTCAATTAGTCATGGCTGCCATTTCATGAAGTTACTCCAGGTGGAACCTCCTGGGTCAGCTCAGAAAAGAAGGACACTTACCTGAATTAAAACACATTCGTCTCTGCGTTGTCCTTCCTGGAAATCTGCCTATGAGCAGGGCAGAGTGCTGTAGTTTTTTAACTGGCTGACTTTTCACATTGCAACACCACTTCCTCCTTTCCGTTGCTTTCCAGGCTGTGCTGACGTGGTGGTGTGCGACTTCTAAGTAGTCTATCTTAACAAATACATATTCCAAGCTTCCCCTTTTAGGACTGGATGCTCCCACTCTCTGCTACATGTACTTTTTTTCTTTATTCATATCAGAGTATTGCATAATTTAAAATTATGAAAGTATATGAAATGGCTGAGATAGCACTATTAAAGTAGCCTTCCTCTGGTTAAAAATAGTCTATCTTAACATTTTAATTTTTATTTTATTTTACTTCTTTACTACAATGCAACTTATTTTTTTGATCCAAGGTGATATTTGCTAACATCTGTGGGGGAGAGGAGGAATCTGTATTTCTCCACTTTTTTTCAAAGGACACAGTGATTGAAATCCAGTAGTTAAGTCACAACTAGAGTAGGAAATTAGTGAGTCAACTCATCTGTATGTTTCATTGATTTAATGGGCCTACTCTAATTACACCTTATTACAGAATTTCAGCAAGTTTATGCTGAGATTCATGTGTAAAGATTACAAAAAATTAATTTAATTTTCCTTGGACTATATATGTTATTCTACTGTGGGAAAATAACCAAAGAATCATTTGGCATGCTAAAGACTCTCAGATATACGGCAGCATGAGATTCCATGAACAAGCCATCTAGTTCTTTAGAAACATACACATTTAAGATTATTTATTATTCCTATTCTTCAGGGTTGACATAATTTAGGGATGCCAGCAATCATGTGTAAATATTGACAAGAGATTCAGATATATACACTGCAGTCCTTCGCAGAGAGAGTAAGCTTTACCAGATATAATAGCTGTTACCTTGATAAGCATGTATAGAATTGCAATGTTGATATAACATACTTTAATATTTTTTAAAAGGGTGGTCAAAATTCTACATGCTCTTTTAAAATAGCCACTTTATTCACACACACACCTTCCCCCCCCCCATTGGTCAGAAAGGGAAGGGAGAGAAATATGTTATGCGGATAAAGTCACCTCAACTTAAAATGAAAGGCCGAAACGGAGTTGGAGGGAATCTAAAATAGTTGCTTGAAAAAGAGTGAAATTTGTTCATGAAAGGCTTGCTTAGACTTACTTTGTAACCAGATGTTAAACAGAGGATAAAATAAAAGACTAGAAAATATCCAGGTTTGGCCAAATAAATCTTTCCTTGCTTTCACGTTTGCTTGCTTGCTTGCTGTTGACTTCCCTTGCAGAAAAACCTCTGATGCACTGATAGTGTGCCTTAGCAAATGCTACTAGCAGCAGCAGCAGCGTCGAGAAAATAAGCACACCTTGTTTACTTCTAAGCCTTCTTTGCAGCTCAGAACATGGCCACTGCTTCCTCACCGCAAAACAAGAAAGGAATGCCCATGGCCCTTGTTCAGTAGAAGTGCACACTAACAAAGAGAAGGTTGTCCAGTGTGAGAAACAAACTATGCTCTCTCTCACTCAGGCATCAAGCACAAAGCTACAGGACCAGGGAGCTTATCTTGTTATGCAGTGCCAGCAATGTGCTGTAGCTTTCCTAACCAAACTCTTAAGTGAAGTGACTTTGC